AAAAAAAAAAAAAAAAAAAAAAAAAAAAAAAAAAAAAAAAAAAAGAGAAAGAATATGAAGTGTTTTGTTCAAATGATTTACAAAATAGCTGAAATTTTGATCGTTATTCTTCGATTTCGCTTATTATCGTCAAAGGAAGATACTTAATATTATAATTTGCCTAAAAGACAATTTTGGTTCCTTAAACCTGGATGAAGCTTCTTGTAAGATTTCGAAGATATAGGAGCGCTTTTCGAAGCTCGATATATGCGAATGATAACGACACGACTTGGAGCAACTTTGCTATAACACCCAATAGATGTTCTTGAAATTTATTGGAATTTAACGCTCTATTATAATTTTTATTGCTATTATTTGATTGGATTTTGGAAATTCACCGAGCCTTAATATTCTTGTACTGTTATTATAGCACCACAAATATATTCACAACGACTATCCCACGACTTTCGAGCAAAGCAAGAAAGTGATGGGATAGTCGTTGTTGGTCTTAAAAGTTAACTGTTAATTATAAGAGATTGATTTTTGGAATCGTCGAGTGAAAACGAATTATTATAACGAATAATAATACTGTCGAGCGTTAAATTAAACTTGGAAAGTTGCTACGAGTTGAAAAAACAAAGTCGAGAAAAGAAAGATATAAGAAAAAATTCAATCAAGAACAGTCTCAAGGAAAAATTATCTTCAATAAAAAAAAAAAAAATTAAGAAAATAAATAGCAAAAAAAAAAAAGGCAAATTTCTAGAAATTAATTTTAAAAAATTATTATATATAAATATATACACACACTTTTATTACAAAGCTTATTCGAAGATCAAGTTTTTTTCTTTTTTTTTCTTTTTGTTACTACGTATCGGTATTTATGACAATTCGAACTGGATAAAACGCCTAAACTTTTAAACTACACTGCATATACTCGATATCTTTTTTCTTATATTTTTCTATTCTTTCCTTTTTCTTTCTTCCTCCAATTACCTTCTTATGGCAAATACAAATTATTTTATTCGTTTGCGCTTTGTAAGTAACCGTTGTAACTTAGTAACTCTCAGTTCAAGGAATTATTTAAAAGCTTTTTAAGTAACAATATATTTTTTTTTTTTTTTTTATATCGCCACAAGCTAAATATGTTCGATAATTTTAATACATTCGAATAGAGCAGGCTAAAACATTTACTGGCCCATTTTTTCTATTTTTCATAATATCGTGCAATTGGAGTTTTTTTAATACAGTGAGCGAAATATTTGTTCCACTATTTCGCGGATTAATGGTCGATTAACTTAGGCTGAGACAATCTAAAGTGATAACCTTTTTTTTTTTTTTTATATTGTTGTTTATAGATTTTTATCATAGGTGTCGTCCAGTAAGTACGGAACGTGTAGATATATATATATGTATATATACGCGTGTCTAGGAGGATAAAAAACCGAATGAAAAAAAATAAATCTTGTGTTTCAAAATTTCAATTTGTATTAATATTATTTTCAAGACCTAGAAATTTAATTAGGAATGTAAGGAAAAGATGTAAGGAAGTTAGAAAGAAAAAAGCGCATTCGTAAAATACAAAGAGAAATGAATAAAGAGGGTGTGTGTTCTAAATGCTTATCAAGAAAAGAAAAAGGAAAAATGACTGGAACCAAATGAAAAAAAAAAAAAAAAAAATTAATTAAAAAAATATAATAATAGAAAATATCTTAAAATACTTTATGACAGAAAAGTAATAATTTCAATGCAATGTTCTAACGCAAGATTATTATAACGAAGCGATTTAATCATTGAAAAGCAATTATAACTAAATAAATGAAATAATAATAATAATAATAAAAATACAATTTTCAGGAAATATAATTAATGAAATGAATGAAAGAACTGGAACACCAGAAGGCCCGAAAACCGATTTCTGTTTCTGCCATTACTACTACTACTATTACTACTGCTGCTGCTGCTGCTGTTTATCCTTAGCATGTTCTTTGCCGGCTGCATAATTAATTTTCTATCTTGTTTGCGATACAAGAATTTTAAAGAATTTTAAAAATTGATCTCTCTTCACCGTAAATCCCTCTTGTTTTCAAATAGTTCACAGCTTTGCGTAGTGGTGTAAAGATTCAGAACGTTTTTCGGGATTATTATAATGTTAGTTATTGGTTCTTTGTTTTGTAAATGAGAACCCCCCTCCTCAAAGAAGAGGGGGCTTTAAAGGATATTTTGGTAGGATGCAGTCAGGTCTCGAAAATTACTTTTCTTCAAAATGACTCGAGTAGCGAAAAATTGTTAAAATTTTGTAACAAAAGAAATGTTTTACACACACCGAACGTACATGCGATTATTTTCCGATAGACACACGCTTTTTTTTTTTTACCGGAAATTCCTTCCTAAAAATCACAGTTTAACAGGCTTTCGCCATTTTCTTTTTTTTCCTTTTTTTTTTTCTTTTCTTTTTTTTTTGTTTTTTTTTTAACTTTTTTCTTTTTAATTCACGAAAGGATTTCTGTTCCGTTTAACAAACGATGCCAAATATCTTGTAATATTCAAAGGACGACTTTTCTTCTCATTTAAATCCGAAAAATGGATCGTGTCACAAGTATCATCAGTCTTTTTTTTTTTTTTTTTTTTTTTCCTCTCTCTCTTTGTTTACAGAAAGAACCGAGAAAGTATGAGGTGTGTGTCAGAGCACCCCCCTTAAATGGGGGCGCCGCTCTCGGACTAAAAAATTCGGCTTTGCTTTAAAACTTTCGGATCTCTCTTTTCGTTATATATAATAATCTCTATATAAAAATAAATGCTTCTCGAATCATCAACGATAGAAAACGATTCAATACGAAATATTCTATATGTACAAAAATGCAAGTACGCAATCTCTCTCTCTTTCTCTCCCTCTCTTCCTCTCTGTATACAATATGCAGCAGCACTGGAGATTTAAAATTTGGTCTTTTGCTACATTGCTCAAAAGAAAGAAAGCGAAGGTTTCATATATCACTATACAGATCTTTTTCTATTTTTAACTTTCAAAGCTCACCGGATTTTGGGATCATATAAGAATCACCCAAAAAAGTACGGTTGGCTTTTTCTTTATTTATATCTTCCTTCTTTTTTCTCTCCTTTTCACAACCTTTTTTAAATTGAAATTGCTAATCACAAGATAATATTTGTTTCTAAAATAAAAAAAAGTTTCACGGCAATTCTGCTTGTTTTTGCTCAATAGTAAAAAATCATTCCACCTACTTGCACGTTTTGCTTGTCTTTTCTGCGAAATAGAAAAAAAAAAAGAGAAACGATGTTACAATAGGCTTGTTTTGTCAGCTACATCTTTCCGGTTTGCTCGTCACAACGGTTACTTCCATATAGAATCAACGCAAGAAAACGCATGTCACATGAAAAGATATATATTAAAAAAAAAAAGAGGAAATAAGCGAAACTTTGCAACCGGTAGAAAATAGAAAGACAGATTACTTTTCTACATTTTTTTTCTAATATGTATTCATATTTTTTAAACGCCAACGAGCCTCGTGGCTCGTCTATTTTGCATGGATAACTCGAATTTACCGGAAGAACGGATTTTTTTTATACTTTTCACTGTTTTACTTTTTTTTGTCAAATACTTATTAAAGTGATTATACAGAAGATTTTAGAAACGGTTGTGCGTATTGTAGCTAATAGCTGACTGCAAATTTATATCCAATAACTGGACATTTAGAGATCTTTCAGAGAAGGAAATTTGTTATTTCGAAATATAGACACAGACTGCCTAATGTGTTAATTCTAAACGTAGGTTTTCAATAGCAGGCGAAGACGAACTTCGTTTGCTTAAAGCGGCGTTAATTCAAAAGAATTAGCCTTTCCCTGAATCGGTGTGAAAAAGCTTGATATTTGAAATTTTCGCAATAAATGATGATTTAATAGAATCAATGGTATACAAGATGCGAGGCCAGAATTGGATGTGGAATGGATGTGTTTTCTCAACGGTCGTTCAGATCTTTCTTATTGCCTCTTTGAAATATCATATTCATTACACGTAACATCGTGCTCCAATAAAAGATATCCTCTGCTCGATCTTTAAACTTCAGGTCTGTCTAAATTGTTCTACTCTGATACTCCACAGGTAATACTGGACGTTCAACAATTCTCACCGGAAGAAATTACGGTGAAGACGGTCGGTAATAATGTTATTGTCGAAGCAAAACACGAGGAGAGACAAGACGAGCACGGATTTGTCAGCCGACAATTCATACGGAGATACGTCTTGCCTCCATCTCACGACGTGATCAACATTACCTCGAGTCTATCTTCAGATGGTGTTTTAACTATCACGGCACCCAAAAAGGTAAAAAGATGGAGAGAAGAGCTCGGTGGTGAGTCCCGAGCAAAGGACTCACCCGATGCTGCTCGATAAACGTTAGGAAAGTGATCCCTTTTTTTTTTTTTTTTTCGAGCCTTTTTATGTTCCTTTTTTCTTTTACTTCCTGTTCTATTTTGATTCCATTTATTTTTCCGTTCTCAATTCCAAAGTTCCATATGTTCTTGTGGTAGAGTATTCGTTTTGACAAGATGGAGCCGACGATTTATTCGACTTCAAACTACGAATCTGCTCTAAACTATAAAAAAACTTCACGTTAGGTTAAACATTTTCTCATAGATGAAGTACATTCGTGAATGTATCAGAGTATTTATCAACTTTAACTTGACAACTCTTAAAAGAGCAACAAACTCTTAAACTTGTCAAAATATAATATATAATATATAAATATATATATAATCGATAAAAAAAAAAAGAATATACAAAAGTAAATTAAAGTTAGTTAAAATCGATAAAGTTTGAAAAACCGAATGTTCTTCATCGAAATATTTTAAGATCGGTATTTTACGATTCAAGTACGATTTAGTATTGAATAGACTTAAACTTATAAAATACACTTAATATATATATTTATTGTGTGTATTGTTGATAAAAAAAAATAATGAATAAATTAAAGTATTGATTGATAAAATCAATCGATATATTCTTACATATCTTATAAAAGTACTTTGAATTTTATCTAATTTTATATATTTTAAAATGCAATTTTTATTTTAAACATATTTATTCTTTCCGATTGATATTCTGATTGATTTCATAACCTTACTATCTCTTATCAACAATAACAAATTGACTGAAGTGATGCTATCAATCAATTTTTAAAAAAAAATTTAAATTTCACCAATCAAATGTTTCAAATTTTTTTTTATTATATATATACTTTATGATAATGTTTTAAGCATAATAATGATATTTCAAATTTAATAATTAAGTAGCAACACTGAAAATTCTAAAGTTAATTTTTTGATTTTATATTAATATTAAGATTCTAGATAATATAAAAATATTTTAATTCACTTACCTATGCATATAACTCGAAGTGCTTTTCTTAAATACTTCAAATGTGTGAAGAAATTTCGAACTCTCTAATCAGATTATGGTTGCGTACGGATTGTTCAAGCACCGACCCCGCAGGGTGCACTATAAAAAATAAACATAAAAAATCTCAATCAATTTTATAACTTGAATTATAATTTAAGAATCTAATTTATTATACTATCTTATTTTTAGGGAGAAACACCTAATGGAGACGAACGAATCATTGAAATCGTGAAAACTGGAGAACCAGCAGGTAAATCGATCAAAGTAGAAACGACTACAGAAGAAAAATAATATGTATTATCTCCGAAATTTATTAATCGAATCTTTATTTAATTTAAATATGATGCTTATTATTGTTAATATTTCATATTTCCGTAATTTAAAGTAATATTTTATACGATATTAAAAATGATAAAAAGTTTAAACAATATTATAATAAATTGTTGTATTGTATTATAATATTATTATAAATAATATAAAAAATTTTGTAATTCAAAAAGTATATTTTTTTTAATTACATAAATCATTCAATGTTCAACATTATCACACCTTTTGTTTTTATATATTTATAATTCACTAAATTCAATGATAATTGAAATTAACATAAATATCACATCAATTTATTTTTATTAATCTAAAACATAAGTAAAAATACAGAAGCGAAAATTTAAAAAAAAAAACAAAAAATTATAAAAAATTAAAATTATTTAAAAGTTAAAAATACTCACGGTAAACTGTCGCGCTCCGCACCGAATCCGTCTCGTCTACATTTTCACGTCGTATTGTCAGCAGCCTCGTGGACCACGTAAAAGAAGTAGAGGTATATTCACTGGTTAGTGGGTCTTCGGGTGTTCACTGCGTCCGAACTGAACGAAAGTTTGTTTACGAATGCGCCGAGGCAAGCCGGCCGGCTCTCTTATATAGGCATGCGGCGTCGCAGTGCTGAAAGTTCGAGAACTTGTACCGGCACCCGGCATCTAATGCGCATTATCTTTCAACTTGTAATTTCAATACTTTTTCCATCATATATATGACAATCATTAATATTATTGTATTCCTTGTGTTATGAATTATTATTTAATGATATAATCATTACGATTTACCATATTTTTTCGAAAATAATAAGCAAAAACCAAGTATTGATCGACAAAGCAACGAGATTTCTGGCACATTCTCCCACCTAGCCCCACTATAACCTAACTCACACAATTATATGTTTTCTCTTATGATATACATAGTATAGTTGTGTTGGTTGAACTATGTTTACGAAAACAAGGAACGACTAACCTCATGTTATTTGACTGTTTGTTTTCATCGTTACGTCAGGAGAAAAGGCTATATTTTAGAAATATATAATTCTCAAAATTAAGGAATATCTAAAATCGCTTTTAATTAATAATATAAATTTTTATGTTATTTCTAGAATATATGTTTATACCATATTCGTTATACGTTAATTATTATTTTGATAATATAAATATGAAATTTTAAGAAACATTTCTTCTTTTGCTGATTTATCTGATCTCTGAATAAAAATATTATATTTTTTACTGAATTTAATAATTAGATTGTATTTTCACAGATATGAGAGTGATTATTATGCTAAAAAACATAGGTATGTTTTTTTTAAGTTATTAATTAAAATTAATTAAATATTAAATTGCGACGCAATTTCATAAAAAAATATTTTATTATACATATTTTTGAAACTGCGTAATTATTCTGAACATATGTTTGCTAGGAACTAATTCTGTCGATACTAAAACAAAGCATAAAGATAAAATAAAAAAGTTTTTTTGTTTTAAAATAATAATTTGAAGAAATGACTACAAAAATTAGTATATGTGATAGTAGATAATATCGTGTTTGTAAATACATATGTGTAATATGTCATAGATCAATATTTCGAGTTATTACAATTGATGACGATAAAAAAAGTAATGTAATCATAGGCGAATTATACAATAATTTTATCGTATTTATTTAATCATATATTATCGATCTTCCAAATTCAATGTTTCTCATCTTTATGCAAACAACACGTATTATTGCGCAATACAGGTTTTGCGCGACAGCTGTAGCTCTATCGATTTTCCAAGCGCGTCTTCCTACCTAGATGCATTATATCTCATATGAAAGACGCGTAATTGATACAAGTTTATTCATGAGAATAAGAATTGCGACTAAGAATTTTTTATGGTAAAAAACCTTTATATATTTTTCAAAATATATAATACATTTGTAATATAATGAATATTAATCTTATTTTATAGATATAATTTAGAGAGAGAAACTACTGATCAGTTTCGATGTAGAAATGAGAGTACATATATAAATATAACGATGAGCAGATGTTCGCAATAGATTCACATACAATTCAAAAATGATAAAAATAGAAATGGAATGTCAATTGATGCATTCAGCTGGACACAGATTATGTATCTATTAATGTTTTTAATATAATTCTTTAGATTCACTAGTGCGTAATATTCTGAAACGATATAGTTTCATAGCAACATAACATGTATCAAATGGTACTTACTGCGTATTCTAACTTAATGATGTCATTTATGCAAATAATAGGTTATAACTATATTTAGAAATTAACGATATCTTTATATATATCAATGCATTATGATGTTTATAATCTTATAAATCAGGATTTACTTTTTTAAATTATTACTTATTGATTAAATATAATATAAAAATTTCTATATTTTAACTCTATAGAACAACTTAATAAAATTCACTCAATCATATTTTTTGAAAAAATCAACAACTAAAATTCTTGTTGAATATAATACATTTTAAACTTCGAAGTAAGTATTAATAATAACAGATTAAACTATATTTTTGAATTCATTTTTTTCATTTTTTAAATTAATTATATGATTACTATTCTTTTTAAAATTCAATTAATTGAAATGTCGAAAGCAAATATAGAAAATAATTTTTCTTGATAAAACCATTAGTAACAAAGGCATATGAAAAAGAAAGAATGAAAAAAAAGAGAATGATGATTTTCAAAAAATTTGTTAATTGAATGTTTAATTTACAAAAATATATAATAATACATTTAATATATAATATATAAATAATTTATAAATAATTTACCGTTAAATTAAAAAACCGATGATTTTGATTAAATGCAAATAAAAAGCAAGAATAACTTGGCATTTAAATTCGAAAATTCATATAAAATAGAATTACTATGAAATTAAAGCAAAAGCAAGCATATTTAAATAAATAGACTGGACATACTAATTTATTTTTTTATTATTTATGATAATGATCTTGGCGATATTATTTATTTATAAATTTATATAAATTTAAAACTATTTTTATTTTATTGTTATCATATGCATTTATTGTTAGGCATTGAATTAATTTATTCAATATTATATATTAAATCATCACATATATAAACATAATCATATATACAATATACACAGCAAATATATACACACATACATAATCATATGGATATACACATACATATTGATACATACACCTAAATTTTTCTAAAATAATAAAAAAAAGAACATTGTAAGTAAAGTAATAAAAGTGAACATTCAAAAGCTTAATTCATATTCAAATTGCATATAAAAATAATATTATTGTTATTAAAACTAAAAATAATTTTTAAATCGTTTATATGTATATAATTATATGTATTTTTTTTATTAATTGATTAAAAACATAATTGATTAAAAAAAAATCATATAATTAATAACTTTTTTACAATATTTATTTATACATAAAATATTTATATTACAATGGTTTACAAAGTCTCCAAAGTGTAACTGGATGTCTATTTGATAATAATTCTAATTCTTTTATTCCTAATGGACTTATGTTTCTGATCCATTTTCGATCTTTATAATATTCCAAAATAGTTTTAAATTCTTCTTTTGAATAATTTTCGACATGAATAGGAAGAAAGGGATCTAAATGTTCAAATCCTTTTTTACCAAGTAAATATTTTGGATAATCAGAATCTTTTCTATCCTATGAATAAAAATATAAAAGAATTATCATAGTTTTATATAATAGTGTTATAAATTATATTATATCAATTGTTATATACTTTATTTGCTCTTTTATCTACTGTTAATATTGCAGCACCATTACACCAATCGTAATTTACAATATTGTAGAATGCAGATGTTATTGATATCTTCTCAGGTGGCACATATTTATGATTTTCATCACATACATGTGTAATTGTAGAAGTAAATGCATTAAAACCATCTATAATAACTAATGTTTTACATTTTCCTGCTGTACTAGCTAATTTCAGTTCATCCAATAAAGCATTAACAACACCACAAGCAAATTTAGTTCTTTCTATTCCAAATTTAATAAGATTAGAAAGTGTTTCTCCACATTTTGTAACTTCTTTTTGAGACCATGTATATTCTTTAGTAGTTTTTAGCTATTTAAATTAATTAAATTAATTTTTTTAATTATATATATTTTATTATATATTATTATATATAATAATAAAATAAATTTCAATTGTTACTTACATTATATTGTGATAATGATGTTTCATTTAAATAGTTTAAATATTTTAACCATGCTGCTGATAGTTGAGGTAAATCTAATTTACCTGGTATCAAAGGAGATTCAGAAACTTCTCTTGCATATCGAAACCAATTACGAACTAAAAAATACAAACAACAATACTATTAACAATTATATATCTTTTCTTCATAAATAATTTACTTTTGAATATAATTGACATCATACCCCATGGCAAATAAACTACAATAAAATGTTTTACAAGACCATAATGAATTAAATGTAATAATGTTGTTGTTTTTCCTACTCCTTCTTTACCATCTAATAATAGTGAAAGAACAATATATAGATAAATTATACATTTTATTTTACAATTAATTAAATAAATATCTAAATGAAAATTAATATCATGAATTTTAAAGGATACATAAAACATATTTATTTATAGATTTTGTATAATCTGTTTGTTCTAAGTATGATATAAGTTCAATTGCAGGTTTTCTAACTAAAATGCCAAATTCTCTAAAAATTGTTGCTTGCTTTTTTAATTCAATTGTCATATCTTTCATCAATAATGATGTAATATCTGAAGGTAATGTATAAATCTTATTTAAACAACTTTCATCATGTTCTACAGGATTTAATTCTGTGCGAAATGATAAAAGATTTATATCTTGTACATCTTTTGTTGCCGCTGTTATTATTGTTCGTCGAGCATTTTTAATACACATTTTACCAAATAAAGAACCTAAAATTTTAGTAAAAAACACATACTACATAATTAAAATATTGATAAATATATATATATATATATTTATAATATAATATAATATGTATTTTATTATAAATATATATATATATATTTATAATAAATATATAAAAAAAAAGACATTGATATAATTTTTATCAATCAAATCAAATTATTATTATATATAAGTAGACAAACATACAAGTATATGACAGCATGTTGTTTAAAATATTTTAATTAGTAATAATACTTTTCTCTATAAATAATTACAAATTTTTAAGTATTTATTTACCGCTAATACAATTGTAAATAACCATATTTATTGTTGGACTGTTCGAATATCTTCCAACAAGTTATTTGATAAGTTCAAAATGTTCCTATGAAAATTAATAATACATAATAATTTTATGTTTTACATAAAATTTTTATACATATTTATTATTCTTATTTAGTTATATTATAAATAATTTATTTGTGAAAAAAAATTTTTATTTTTTCTTTCAATAAAAAATATTACTAAATGTTTAATTTTAGGAACATATCTGAAGTAATCAGATTGTCGATCACTCTACAAGAATATATACAATCGTATAACAATAATTCTAGCAAGTTGTCTAAAATAAATATATATACATATCAATAAATCAAAAATGAATTTAGAATTATTAGGTAAATATTTAGCAAAATCTATTTTAAAATTTAATTATATAAATTTTTTAATATTCATAAAATTTTTTTATAGAATCATTCGGTCAGAATTATCCAGAGGTAAAATATTTTTAGAAATATAATATATTTATATTTGTTAATTCTGAATCTTACAGATAATATTTGTAATCATTAGGAATTTGATGGTACATTAGATTGTATATCATTAGCAGTTACTTGTACCTTTAATAAAAGAGGAACTCTTCTTGCTGTTGGATGTAATGATGGTAGAATCGTTATTTGGGATTTTTTAACTCGTGGTGTTGCTAAAATCATTAGTGCACATGTACATCCTGTATGTTCATTGAGGTAAATGATTTGAAAGAATTTATTATTAATAAAATATTTTATTTATTTCATCATTGTTTTTTTTTAATTAGTTGGTCTAGAAATGGACACAAATTATTAAGTGCATCTACAGATAATAATGTTTGCATATGGGATGTCTTATCTGGAGAATGTGACCAAAAATATAGATTTCCATCTCCCATATTAAAAGTTCAATTTCATCCAAGAAATCTTAATAAATTTTTAGTATGTCCAATGAGACATGCAGCAGTAATGGTTGATGTTGAGGGTACACATAGAGTTATACCTCTGGATGATGATGTATGCAATAAATTTAATGTTATTATTTTGTATTTTTTATTATAATTTATTTTTTAATATAAATTTTTTACTTTTAATGATCTTTTTAGAGTGATTTGAATATAGTGGCATCTTTTGATCGTCGAGGAGATTACGTTTACACTGGAAATGCTCGTGGCAGAATTTTAGTTCTTGATGCAGAATCATTAACTGTGAAAGCTTCTTATAAAATATCACAAGGCACAGCTAGTAATACAGCAGTAAAAAGTATTGAATTTGCTAGACGTGGTTCTTGTTTCCTAGTAAATACATCGGATAGAGTAATTCGTGTGTATGATAGTACTGAAGTATTAGCTTGTGGAAAAGATGGTGAACCTGAACCAATACAAAAATTGCAAGATTTAGTAAATAAAACTATGTGGAAAAAATGCTGTTTTTCTGGAGATGGAGAATATGTTTGTGCTGGATCTGCAAGGCAGCATGCTTTATATGTATGGGAAAAAAGTATTGGGAATTTAGTAAAAATTTTACATGGTACTAAGGGAGAATTATTACTTGATGTTGTTGTAAGTTATTTTGATTTTTAATAAAATAATTTGTTTTAATTTTTTATATTTATAATATTTTAATAAATAAGATATAATATTATTACAAAAATTTATAATGATACAGTGGCATCCAGTAAGGCCAATTATTGCATCTATATCATCTGGTGTTGTTTCTATTTGGGCACAAAATCAAGTTGAAAATTGGTCTGCATTTGCTCCAGATTTTAAGGAATTGGATGAAAATGTTGAATATGAAGAAAGAGAAAGTGAATTTGATTTGAGTGATGAAGATAAATCAGTGGTACAAGGTGAAGAAGCACAAGATGAGGAGATAGAAGTAGATGTTGCATCTATAGATAGAGTGGCAGCTTTTTGCAGTTCTGATGAAGAAATGGAAGATATTGGTTCATTACAATTTTTACCAATATCACCAGATGTAGAAGATTCAGAAGATAATCAAACAACAATGCATGAACCACCTATGAAGAAACATCGCTCTCATGACATTCACTTGCAAGGTGCACCAGTAGATGGTAATATATTATTATAATTGATAATAAATTTATTAAATTTTTCAACAATATTTTTATTTTTAGAAACTCATCCATTATTAAATAAAGGAAAAGATAAACCAACAACTAAAAAAGGAAGACCAAGATTAGAACATAGAAAAGGAAAATAATTTAGAATATTTTTTGTTTTCTTTAATATAAAAAAATATTTTATAATGTACAACATAATTAAAAGTACTTTAAATATATTATCAAATATGATAATATTTTATAGACATAATATGCTATAAAATGTATTACTTCCTATGGAATGGATCTTATGTATTGTTTAATCTTATATGTTTTTATATTGAAAACTTATTGGATTAAATGTTAAAATAAATTTTCAATTTTATGAGTATCTATATATTAAATATAAATTTGAATTTAATATAAATGGTTTTCTGATTTATTTATTATATTATCATGTAAATTATTTCATTAGATTTTACTATGATTTTATTATTTAGAATAATTGTTATTGATATTTTACACTCATTCTAATAATAGCAATACTACCAATATTCCTAAAAGTATAAGTTGAAATGCACTTAACCTGTATTTTACTATCAAATTATTTTAAGAGAAAATTAATTGATCGATAAATATTTTATCTTATCTTATGTAGCAATTTCTGAAAGCGCAATCAAAATTGCGCAGTATTTATATTAACTTGCAACTTTAAGTATATTAAATTTCGTTTGCAATGTTAATTTCGAGGTTATTGGCACAAGTTCATAAGAAATTATTTCATGTTCAGAATAAAACAAAAAGAGGTGTACAATCTGTTAAAGATATAATCTTGAGTATCGGAATTATTATTATTAGTGGATTTCTTATTATTTGGTTATCCGTGTTTCTTTATACAGCATTTTATTATGCCTATGTACCAAGTATTTCATATGTACGACCAGTACATTTGCAATTTAAGTAAGTTTCATTTTTCACTTGTGCATATTATCTCTATCTTCTTTTATATATTATTTACACATATATTTTAAGTATAAAGTTTGATTATATAGTTTTTTTATGTTATAGATCATGTAATGAACAAAAAGGAATTTGTAGTTTTCCATATGCATATGTGCAATTAACAAATAAACAACAACTTTTAATGGTCGGTCAGCCATATAAAGTTAATTTGCATTTAGAAATGCCAGAATCACCAGCCAATAAAGAACTTGGTAATTTCTGAGTCTTTTGCAATCAAAATATAAAATAACATTTAACAATAAAAATCATTTTTAGGTATGTTCATGGTTTGTGCTCAATTACGCAGCAGAGATGGTTTCCTTGTAGAACATTCATGTAGATCTACCATGTTACATTATCGTAGTACCTTATTACATGCACTTACAACATTTACATTTTCACCTATGATGATTTTTGGCACTACAGAAGAAAAACAAAATATAGTTCTTGAATTATTTGATAATTTTGAAGAAGACCAAAGTCATCCAGTTACAATCATTTATATTGAAATACAATCAAGACATATTGAATTTTATTCTGCAAGCATTATGATAAATGCTCATTTATCGGGTCTACGTTATTTAATGTTTCATTGGCCAATTTTATCTGCTATTCTTGGTGTTAGTACAAATTTGTTTTTCATAGCAATTGTATGTACTTTTTCCTATTTTCATTTTACAATTTATGATGATTCTGGAGATGATGGTTTCAATTACGAAGAAGATAAAAATGAAGAAGAAAAACAGGAATATAAGAAAGAATTGAACATAGAAGAAAAGGAAAAACATAAAGCTACAAATGATCGTAAGTTATAATAGTTATAATGGATAATATTTCTTTCAATGAAATTAATATATAAAATTATCATTAAATTAATTTATTTTTTAAAGATTCATCAGACTCATCATCATCAGAAGATCCTTTTATATTGCCACATCTTATAAAGTCTGAAGAAGAATCTCATTCTTCTCACATTGAATTAATAAAAAATTAATTTATATATTTCATAATATGAAATATTTTAGAATTAATAACATGTACAAATGTAGAATATTAGAATATTATATGAATGTGAGTAAATATATATTATAAACATATTTATTTTTCTATATTTAAATACTTTATTAATTTTTTTTTATTCTTTTGATATAATACAAATTATATTAAATTATATATGGAAATACCTGTAATAAAATACTCACATACAAATCTTTTTCTTTTTTTTTTGAGAATTATGAATTTTTTCGTATATTATTTTTTTGCCATTTTATATATCATAACATTGAGTATGTTTTTATTTTAATTGGTATTGTTTTAAATCTTAAAATTTTTATTATTTACAATAAAAAGAAAGATTGTAAAAACATATATTATTTATAATTTCAAATAAAATTACAATAAATAAATTATAAATATTTTTATTGTGGGTATTTTTATTAGAAATCACATTTGAAATGCATTGATAATTAATTATATAATTAACATTTACCTTATGTCTTCTCTTCATTTACATCTTTAATAACTTAGAACTTTAATAATAACTAGAATTTTATTAAAATATGAAATTTGTAAGAATCGATTATCTCATAAAAAATAAGTGTTTCCTTTTATTATGAATATATATGACATATGTTATTCTGTATTTCGTATGACAATATAATAAATAACATTTAAATTAATTATAAATAATTTAAATTTGTATTTTAAATTTGTAATTCAATTTGTAATTTAAAAATTAGCAAATTTATTATATAATTTTTTATTTAAAATAAATGAAGAATATTCTTTTACTTATTTTAAATTTAAAATCGTTTCGCGGTTTAGCTTAGTAGCGCCATCTTTCAAAGAAAAATTATAACCACTTTAAAGTTACGTTTTCATGTTTTGAGATCAGTTCAGTGTACGTAAATTTCTTTGTTTTATTTAAAAATTACATAATTTATGTAAATAATAATAAAAAAAAATATAATAAAAGTTCGTATAATATTACTTTAATTTAATAAAAACTTAGTTTCTTTATAAGTAAATTTAGAAGTTATTAATATTAATATAATAACATATTCTTATAACATGTTATAAGAATATTACGAAATGCATTGCAATTCGCAAGAATGACTTTTTTCAAATATAAAAAGAACATTTTCAAGATGTCTATCGATAAATTGAATAACTTTTGAAGATCAAGATATCATAATACAAATTCATCGTAAAAGTCTGATATGAGTTTAATATAGAGTAAGTTCTATTTAATATTTAATATAATTTTTTTCAAATATGATTATCAACAAATGACGTAGTGTGATTTAACATTTTAAAAACGAAAAAGTAACATCGAACGAATTTTTATACATATAAATAGTAAGAGAAAGAAAGTGTTTAATGCGATTTCATTTTTCATGTTTCTTCAAAAAAAAGTTTTTAAACAAAATTTTTATTGCATTTAACTTGTATGGATAAATCGATTAAATTTTGGTATAGTAAAATACAATGTTTTATGCAATTGGTAATGGAAAATGGAAAAGTGTTTTTTTCTGCAAGTTGATGATAATTTGATATTTTTTACCAACAGGTCGAGCGATTAGTACAAAGACCAGGGATATCTTAGTGTAAAAGAATTCAACGATTTGCGCTTATTCTAACCAACAAAATTCAGCAAAGAATCAACGATGTAGAACAAGGTAAATATACTATTTCAAAAAACTTATTATATTTTTTGTTGTTATTTGTTTTTTGTCTTTCGTCTTTTTTGTCTATTCATTTTCTTTTATTAATCAGTTTCAATAAGATTATTAAATTATATCATGCGAAACATTTCAATGTGGATAAAATAATTAATTCGATTTTTCGCGTTTTAATTGTATAGATAAATTATATTATATATATTAATAGATAGGACAAAAGTTACATTGAAAATGGGTTTGAAAACAGGAATGATTAATAGTATTATCATTTTTAACCTCATTATAGATATCTAACTTCTGAAATGATTATGCAATTAATTCATATTCATGAATATTTTCATAAAAATATTCATTTTTTTCTTTTTCTATTCATCTCTTTCCTTGGAACAATTTTAAAATGAAAATTATAATAGAAAATTAAAAATTTCATAACAAACTAATCTGTAAACCACATTCGTGCGGTTATTGCTCTTTATTTATTCGTAGTTAGAATATAGAATTTCCACCAAAATATCGATACCAATGAATATAATTTTAATTGCGGTCGGGATTAATACAAAATTTACAAGAAACACATTCATATTTAAATAAGAGTTTATCATCATGTTTCCGTAAAAGCGGATGAAAACGAAAATTTTTTTTATTAATTTTTTTATTTTAAAATTCGTTTGCAAATCATATTCTCTAATAAAACGCATTGATTTCTGAATTACGATCACATAATTTTGGTATTAGCCAAGTTTGTAATAGAAACTTTTCTCTCTTCAGAAGCGATTCAAAAATCGATTAACTGAATTTTGCGAGATCTTATAATTTTAAGAAATTCAATCATAGACAGATCAAATGGCGAAAGCAAAGAAATCAGGATTAAAACCATTGTGAGGCGAAATGTAAACGAATTTAATATCGATGAAGATCAAAATTGATCTAAAAAGATTGCTTTTTTTTTTAGAAATTCATCTTTCACATAGAAGATAGTAAAAAAAAAATTTAATAAAAAAAGAAATTTCACAAATTTTAAATAATTTCATATGTATAACGTTTCACGAGTTTGAAATTTGAATAAATTTCAAACGATCCAGAAATTTCTTTTCCTAATAAATCATTATTGTTGTCGTTCAGATAATTTTCCATTCCGACTATCTTCGAGTTCGATTTTAGTGGGAACAATTTGTCTTCGCGCACTAACCTCACGATGGATTCCTGGAACTAGTAAACGCGTTTTCGATCGTTTGCGCATAAGCCAGCGGAACGTAAAGGAAGCTAGCCAAAAGAATACGAAGTAAAGGAATAGTATCCCTACGGGCGAATTTCGTTCGAACTTGCGAATTGTTTCTTGTTCCGATCGTTTCTCGGTAAATTGTTCGGTTTGGCAATGAGGTAGATAGGTAGCAGATTTTTTTTTTTCGATAAAAATAAAAGAGTGGGAAAAAAACATCTCTCCACCGTCACGCGATTCGAAGAACCGCCGCGGTCAGATGGAATTTCGCTGCATTTTCGCGATACCGAATTATCGAACGTGCATCGTAACGTGCGTTCGGTTACAACGTAAAACGGCTTTGATATGCAAATCCTTGTTTGAACTTGGTTAAAGGTATTCGCTCCAGATGTATCTTCTCTTCGATGATTCATAGTGATCAAACGAGATGATTAAAAAGCTACATGTTCATCACGTAGGAAATATGCGTATTTCGGTCGAATACGATTTATCA